TATGGGTATGGCGCACAATAATTAAGTAATTAAAGTGTAATGAAACTAGAGAATTTCTGAGCAATTTTGTAATTAAGACAAATCAAATTTCAATAAAGGTGTAAAGTAAATAAATAAATAGCTGTATTCCTTGGAATACTTGCAATATTTCCAGTAAATAAAATTGTATTGAGAGAGCTCTACCAAGAATAGGTTCCTAACTCCTGCTGTGCTGGGGCTCATTGACCCATCAAATGCTATTTCTTAACGCTAAGCCACATATTTCTGTCAAAATAATGGACAAACTGTGCACACTTTGCTGCATAATAAAACCCAGGCGGCGGCGTACGAGTGTAATCCGAATGTTTGCTCATTGAGGAGTCCAGTCACATATCATCCATATCCTGAACAGCGACTTCCTCGCCGAACACACGTACATACACATATAGGCAGATATAGCCGTGCGATCTGTGGAGCCCAAACCAAACAACACGTGTTCGAATGGCGAATGCACTCACATGAACACACAGAAAGGGGCCGGAGTGAGTGAGTTTTACAAGTTATTTTATGCAAGCCATAAATATGCACTTTACACTTTGCACATTTCTTTCTTTCTCGCCCCTCGGGAGAGTCTCTTATTCCCCGCCAAAGCAAAAATAAAGGAAAAGCTAAACAAGCGGCAAATGCCTGGGCCAGATGCTCTTAGTTAGACCAACACAAATACTATATCCAGGCAGACATTCGGACACTCAGACACTCAGACATTCAGACATTCAGACATCCAGACACATGGCAGACGCCATGGTCCGGAGTCGAGTTGAGTTCGGAGTTGGGTCCAGTCCGCAGTCCACAGTCCACAGTCCCCTAGAGCCTGCATACAAATTATGTACAAACATGTTTCCAGAAATGTTCAATTCATTATCGCTAACAAATGCCGATCATGTTGTGTTCAACACAGTTCAAAGCACTTTTCTGCAAATTATTGCACAGATCTGCGCTCGATTGATGGCCCGTTTCAAATGCAACTCGGAAGCTCCGTCACTCACTCCCCTCAACGGCACTCCACTTTGGTCTCCAGTCTCCAGTCTTCAGTCTCTGCTCTCCTAATCGTAATTGCTGTTTGGCTAAGTGATATGCCGTGTCCAGAGAATCTCAATCGCACAGAAAGAAATGTTCAGAGAAGAATCCAGAAGCTTGAAAAGCATCTTGAAAGTGTTGAAAATGATGAACTAATATAACTAAGTTTATTTTTCATACAATTTATTTATTTTTTTAGAGAATTGATTGGCTTTTGTATTATTTACGAAAACATACATTAAATATTCTTAAAAATAATTTATAAACTATAAATTATAGCTCAAAACCTCTAAGGTATTCTCCTAAATTTTACAGAACCTGTGTTTAATTTGAAATTAAATAAATAACCTCATAATTTTTTTCTTTCAGCTTCCACAAATACTTTCTGGTTTCTATTTTAAGTTTAGAAAGTATTCTTGTTTAGGATTTAATTTATTATATGTGTATAAAAACCAAGTTTTGCTTGTAATAAGTATTTGCAAAAATCTTTCAAGAGATTATTTATAATAATAGAATTTATTTAAAACTATTATTAATATACCAAAATCTACGCCTATTTAAATAAGTAAACAAATAAAAATTGGATTTTTATATTAATTTTTAACAGGCAACTTAACCTTTTTTTTATATTTGGGTACGATATGGACTCTATGATTGATATTTTAGTTCACGAAGACACTTTACTGGATGTTTAATTTGTAATATAAATCAACTTTGCTTGTATTTATTATCTTCCTACAAATACTATCAACAAATGGTTTATTTATCGTTTATTTAGCCACTAAATAAGTAACTATTTTTCGTTCTGTGCCGAGTCAGAGTTTGAAAGGAATCTGTTTAGCAGGAATCTGTTTAGCAGACTGTACGGTTTTACCCCATCGCTCCCTTTACTCGAGAACACTTAATACACAATTTCCGCTCACGGTTCGGGACTGGGGTAAAATGAAAATAAAACGAAAACAAGAACAAATAAAAAGCGAGCCCGAACAGAACAAAACCCTATAAAGTACTTGCACTCCTCAGCTGCGTAGTACTGCTGCTGCTGCTGCTGCTGATGTTGCGTCTGCGCACAAAGGCGATTTAAATTACAGAACGTGTCCGGAGAGAATAAAACTTCCATTGAGTTTCGAGGGGCGGGCAGCAGAACAGCACAAATTAAATGGCAATTAACGTGCAGACGCAGCTGCAACTACTGCAACAACGAACAAGCGAAACGAGTTGCACAGGTCAAAAATCAGCGGCCATCAACAGATGCCCACGAATTTACGACTCCAAATCAGCGGCAAATGTGCGCCTGGCTGATTGATTCAAATAAGTTTATGTGCTGGGCGGCGAGTATGTGGATGTGGGTCACGAATTTACTCGCAGCGTTTTATGGCTTGGCTTGTCTGCCTTACAGCCTCCCACATGCCATGCGCCACGGTGCGTATGCGTTACGAAAATTATTATAAATTACAGCGGGCAGAGTTGGGGCCCAGCTGATAAGTAGACCCAGAACCTCCGACAATTCGATTTAGAAGGGGCAAACACTCTGTACTCGGCAAACACACAACCCACACTTGCCACCGCCGTGTGTGTCATTGGAAAAATAATACAAAATAATGCGAGACCTCTCTCTTGGTCTTGTTAGAATCGAAAAAGCGTGGGTTCAACCGAAGGACACTTCCTATTTGGCTTGTACTTTGAGTTTGACCGTGTGTAATAAGTATGCAAATTGCGAACGCGAGTGGAAAGACAATTGATTTTTAATGAATTCCGGGGTCAGGGTCGAGTTAAGAAAAAAATGAGAAAAAAACACTACATGCAGCACTCGACAATTATTGGCCATAAATGCGATAATGAACTTTGACGGTCCGCCAATAAAATGTGAAACCAGAAATTTACCTCAAACTATTCGGCGAGAAAATCCTCTGATTTACGCTGATGTGGGGGCTATAAAGAGTTATACTATATAGGTATTCAGATATAGTATGCGGCACTTTAACGACTATTACTATTCCTTGCAGATTGTAAAACAAAGATCACACAATAAGAAGGCACTTTTGTAACGTATTTCGCAGGCACTACTCGCTCATCACTCTGATTCCGAATTTATTTGCGTTTTTTATTCGTACTCCGGACGATACTTGTGGCACATTTCTTTCGGCGCACTCTGCACTCTCCGAACGGCGCCTCGAAACTACGAATATTTGTTGCACGTTGCACGTTGCACGATTCAGTATCAGGCTATAACTCTGTACATATATTCGTCTTCGGTCGCTTCTCGTCGGATCGGTTTCTGCCGCTAACAAGACTGCGCGTCGCGAGCTTTATTTTCCAACTGAATTATCAGTTCCAGTTTCACCAGTCGACTATGCCACAGCAACCCCTGCAGCAGTGTTGCCAGTTTAACTTGTTTTGGGCTGAAGCAGGCATATATTGTATAGCATATATGATATATTATTATGAAGTTAATTTAAAATATATCTAATAATAATGAAATAAAAATAATATAATTTAAAATTATAAATTTAAATGCTGAAAACAAACCAAACAGAGTATCATTACATTTTACGTATACTTAATATGTTTACAGTTAAACAGTTACAGTTTTACATTCCCAGCTTTACCTTTTCTCAACTAAAACCGAAATTCTGAAATGATACTAAAAGCTCATATCTCAGAGTAGATGAAACTACTACTAATTTTATTAAAATAAAAACTTTGAGACCATACCAATGTATGTTTCTCTTTTGATCAGTCTAATTTTGTAATATTTCAAAATATTACAATTTTTTTAAGTTATATATTTTAATTTATAGCTTTTTTTAGCTTATGTTTTATCAGATTGCGGCAGCACTGTCGTACTGCAGACACGTTCGCTGTACGGCGTGTTGCAGACCTGTTTACAGCGCGGCGAGCTGTTAGTTTATACCTAATTTAACAGTAACTGTTAGTGGCCAGGGCTGCTTAAGCACCTAAGACGCTGTTACGCTCAGTGGCGAAATAGTGGGAGTTGTTGGACTTTATTTAAATCATTATAACGTCTAACTACGACTTTAAAGAAATAAATTTATAAATATTTATACCAAGATGCCATTATTATTCGATTTATTTTCAGGGTTTAATTAAATATTTGAATTAAATTTAAGCAGGTAAGATGCAAAGAAACATATCCAAATTATAAATAACTTTTTAACCAAAGCAAACAAGTATTATCTTTTATTAATCATAAATTTATTCTTTTCAAAAAATCAATAATGCAAACCTAAAGGCAGATTTTAAGCATTCACCTTTGTCTTGCCAGATACTTTTTGCCCAGCAAGAAGACTGCATTGCGAAATGCAATCCTCAGTGGTCTTTGACTTGTTGATAAGGGAAAACCACTGCCGAGTGTCGAGTGATATAATCTTGAAAGATTAATTATGCTTGAGAGGAATGTACGCAGATTGAAGTTCAATAATATTTTCTTATACGATGGGACATTCCATTAAGTTGACACTGTAATTAATTACAAAGTATAAAGGGTAGCAGGACTTATTGTGTTTAAAACTATATTTCATAACTGAATTTTACTTTACGGGTTGTTTTATTAAAAATCAATAAAGAAGTCCCTTTACTGGTAAAATTCCCTGTAAAATCGGTTAGTTTTAAGGCATATAAAATGCTCTATTTAAATAGTAAATATCCTGAAAGCTCCACCCTTGTAATTTTGTCAATTACTCGATTTAATCCGTCGAGAACACTTATCGCCTCTTTCCCAGTGATAGCCCAATTTCCCCAGGCATTTGCGGGCGCAGTTACCCAACAATTTCTCCTTGGCAAAAAGCAAACTATTTAGATGCGATTAAAGAACTTCAGCAAATTGCAGTTAATTTCACTGCGGCTCCCAAATGATATCTTTTTTTCTGCTCGGATTTCGCGACTGCTCGCCAAGTTCCTTTTAAGCCTGGCTGCACACTTACCTCGCCAATTTGATGGGCCGACCGGAGTGCGGCGGCAATTTGCGCAAATTTGCATAGGAATCGCTGCTCGAAGAGGGCCAGGCTGCCGTCGAATCCGCACACGAGCCGCTCACGTGCCTGCTCGATTAATATCGCACGCGTGCGTGCCCAGTAGACGGGATAAATGTGCGACAGATGGCTGTCAATCAGCCGGCCCAGCGTGGCCTCCACATCGTCGGGCAGCTGGGGAAGCTGGGGGATCGTACTCTCAGTAGGTATTGGTATGGGGATACCTTTGTTGCCAGGCTGTGGAGAAGGAGCAGAGGTAGAAGTTGAGATTGAGCTTGAGAAGGGGAGGATTTCTTCAATGGGCCACCAAATTATGGTTGTGCAAGACAAAATAGCACGTATTGAGATACAAGATAAACATGGAAAATAGAAAACCTTTTTTCTTTTTTTTTAAATATTAAATTAAATACCTTTTTAAAGGATACATAAAAGAGAATAAATGATTTTTCAACTTATTTTTTCACAGTGCTATTACGTACCTCTTCCTGCAGTGGAACTTCCTCGTGTGGCGGCTCCAGCTCGTCGGCGACCGCCTGCTGCTCCTGGCCAGCATCCAAGCTACAGTCGATGGGCAGGGCATCCGAGTAGGAGCCGTGGCTGTCCTCAGCCAGGTCCGCCTCCTCCGCCGCTGCCAGCTCCTCCTGTAGCTCCTCATTATCGGATTCCCTCTCCCCGATGCTTGTAGGTGCTGCTGGTTCGTTCCTTACCAGGGTGATGGTGGTAGTGGTGGTCTTTGGAGTTGTCTTTGGCTGCTGACCCGTTAGGCGCTGCTTGCACTTCTTGAGATACTTTTGAACCCGCGACTTGCTGCGGTTCAAAGTGCCCTCTGATGCAGTGGAGGTTGTTGTTGTTGGATATCGACAGCACACATAATTAGCGTTCGCGGACAGCTGCTCCACCTCCGGATCCTCCAAAACCTCCAGAGCCTCTTCCTCCACCTCATCCACCTCTTCGTTGCGGGCAATGGGCGCTGCTTTAACCTCTTTCATGTCCCTGTCATTGGTCAAGACTGTTGCTGGCGGGGACTCTAGGATCTGAATCGCCTGAGCTGGCCTCTCCCCAGAGTCTCCATCGATTTGCGTGTCATTCAGCACCAAGATCTCGGCTAATTCCGCTCCTGCTTCTGAGCCACAACCAGAATCCGGAACAGAAACAGAAACAGCTGCTTCTGCTCGCCCTGCCTCGGTGTTCGTGTCGGCCTGAAATGCACAAAATAAGTGGGGGAGGAGACTTTAGACACGTGTGGAGTTCAGAGTGCGCCTGTGTATCTGCCAGATACACAATTGCCGCATTTCAAATGGGCCAAAGTTCTTTGGCTCGGCACATGCAATGGCAACTGCGACTGCAAAGACCGCATTAAACACAATTCGCTGGGTTGCTATGGGCAACGTTGGTGGCACAGTGGCACAAAGTAGGAGGATAAATGTATATAAATTTTATTTATTAATTAATATTAATATAGAATATTGAATTAGAATTCTATATTATTCGTAAGGGAAAGGAAATAAGTTACACTTAAACTAGAACATTCAGAAAGATACATAGTTCGTTTAACTTTTTGTTTAATTTCTCAGAATATTACCCCTTAAAGTTAACTATATTTAAGTCCGACTGTGCACATTCCTATAGTTTCGATCCACTTTCCCATAGCACACCATCAATGTGCGCAGGCAGATGGGAATGTGGACTAAGGAGGACTGGGTATTGGGGAATAGATATGGTGCTGGGGCTGGGGAAGCCTGGTCCGCCTTGTTGCATGTTAAAAGTTAAACAGAAATCAATTGGGGACAGCATTGATCCGGAGACAAGACTAGGGAAAGGGAGCGAGCCAAACGGGGGCCGCATTGCATGACAATCAAATGAAACGTCAAACGTTCGCTGCCTGGCTGCCTCAGTTGTCGTTGTCATAGGTCAAGTGTAGCACAGTAGAATTCACTTTCTTTCAGACACACACACACACACAAATTTGCAGTGAAAGTGGATGTGGTTCGGGGATCCCCATCCCCTTTTTGACCATAACACACATAACAAAGCCTGGCATGTTCAATTTTTCAGCTGCCGAAGTCGAAACCGAAATACTTTTGGCCAACAATGTGACATTGTGCGATGCCGGCGCTTTTCCATTTATTTTCCCATTACCCACTCACTGGCCTATCCACGCCCAAGCGAATCTAGCAACTGAAGTCGCCGAGGAATCCGGCTAGCTCTGCTCCTAGTCCTTTTCCCGCAGCTTTCTGGGTCCTTGCTAGCCTGCCGCCAGGTGTCGCCACCGGCGCCTGCGCAAGAGTCCAACTCGGACTCAAGTCCCCATGTCCACCAATCCCCCCACCAAGCCAAACGAAGCCACAGAGACACCAACGATTTCTGCCGCTGAAGCTTATAAATTTCCACAATTTGTTCAGGCCGGGCTTTTTGAAGTGTGGCCGAAGCGACGCCAATAAATACCAATAAATATATCATCAATATTTTCTTTTTGGGCCAAGCACTGCGAGAAAATTGGGGTTAACTGAGAACTAAAGAAAAAATAAAGGCCAAGGATGATTAACATCAAGGTAAATTTAAGAAGAGTAGGAATTTCTTGAACTTACTTTAAACTAAAAACTTTCTAAGTTAAATTTTTTACTAGAACATTTACTCGACTTCCCTCTAAGGGGTTCCCCTTTTCCTGCAGTGCTTGATTCTGGCGCTGCATTCCGGCGATTGCTGCCACCGCTTAAAGATCCCTGCCCAGTGGCCATGGCAGTGGCACGCACGATCGGCAGGGAAAAAAATATATATAAAAAAACAAGGAGAATCAGAGGCAAATGCAATTTGCTGCCATGCCAACTCTTGACCAAGTGCCGGACTGTGCTCATCAATTAATTGCCCTGGCCGGTCTGGTTTCGCTTTGACTTTCGGTCGTCGTGCTATGGCTTTTTGGTTTTGGTTTCGGACTGGGCGCTGGCCCGGGGGCGTTTTGGCCGGGTTTTCGTGGTGCGTGCGTCTGTGGCAGTGGGTCGCTGGCTTTTACGGCCAAGCTGCTAGCCCGCTGTTCAAATTATGGCCGCGCGTCAAAAGGAAATCGAAAATGTTGCACTAGTTGGCTGGACAAGCCATTAAAGGAAGGTCGCCGCTGCTGCTGCTGCACCGACAGCTCAACCTTGGGGCTACTCCAAGCTAGTCCAATCGATCCAAAGCGATGATCCCATCCCATTCCATTCCAGCATCCAGCATCCAGCACACTCTCACGCATCTACGGTTTCACCTAACGCCGCTTTGACCCAAATCCGCCATCCACTCCTATAATATATAGTGCTTATACCCTCCTCCTTTAATCCGCGCAGAGAAACACGATTGGAAATTAATTTTTATGCAACTCTTGTCACATTTGTGTTAATCAAAACATTATGACTGCGTTTTCTTTTATTAATTGGACAACCTACTCCGGCCAAGCAGGCACCTGTGTCGCACCTGAGGAGCGGGAACTGTCAATGCCAATGCCATTTGGTCGATGTTCCTCCGAAAGAGACTCTCTGCCGCTGCCCACGAAACAAATTAAATTTATTGCGTGTGATTTTGATAGCGCGCAGATACACACAAATATTGCGTCAGTAACTAATTTGTTGGCTGACTGACTGACTGCCCGTTAGAGATTGTAACGGAGCGCCATATACTTTGGCTTGGTCTGAAGTCGGGGGAATGGCCAACACAGTAAGAAAGGTTTTAACCATTTCTTTAACCATTTAAGGTAGTCCAAAGAAGGTATATTTGATTAAAAAGTGATAATACCTAGTCTAAAAATATATTTCCTTATGAAATCCTTACAGTTTAAAACCAAAAACATGTATTATATATATGTATAAAGATATATTAAGTAGAAGTGCTATATTTTTTTGAAAAGTGCTCCTACGTAGGCCGTGGAAATTGCAATTTCGCCCTCAACTTAAAGTCCACGAAGTGCCTGTATATGCGTATGCCTTGCCGCAATATGGGAAAATGCGTGGGCTGCAACTGCCACTGCTCCCAAATTAAGTGACAGCTCCACGAAATTGAAAATGACTGTGAATGCGTGTCGTTAATGGGCTGGCCTAACCCCCGACTAAGGTTAAAGAAAGAGAAACTGGCAACTGGACAGGGAAAACTGCGGGGGAGAAAAGCCATTTGCATGTGAGGCTGGTAAAAAAATAGCAACTCATAAGCTAAGCAATAAACACCTTTGAAGGCAGGTATTAATTGCTAAAGATATCTGAGGTATTACTTGTTTTCACTTTCTTTTAGGTAATAAATGAAAATGTAAATTAAAGAATAAATTTCTTATATTAATAATAATTAAAGTACTTTATCTTAAATAAAAAAAGGTATTTTGTTGCTAATTAGTACTCATTTAAAAGTTGGAATGAGTGAGAAATTATTCTTTAATTTTGATAGAATTATAGGATATTTTCCATATTAATGTTCTCTAGGGGAATAGTATATTTTCAAATGATTATTGTTTAAAGTGAGCCATGAGACATTATAATTAAATGTAGAAAAATAGTTCTTAAATACAAACTCACATAAAAGTTAAATCATTGCCTAGAAACTAGAATTAAGTGTGATATTCTAACCGTTATTCTAGCCTATCCTACATCACCATATTTCTTCACCTTCCTAATAAGCAAAAAAAAATCCAAATAGAATAAACTAAACCATAACTTTTGATATTCAACAGCCTTTCAAGTCCAAGTAAGCCATTGCACTTCCTTCCACTTATAGGTCAGATCAGATTAGCCGATTACAAAACCCATTTCCTATATCAAATTTGCATCTCGTGCGTTGAATAACAGCCATTGCCAAATGGCGAGGCTTTATGAAAGGTTCAATGTTTCGGGCTCTGCGGATGGGTTTTGTTTTGCCTTTTTTCTCCTTCAGTTTATAAGCTTTGAGTTGCAGTTCGCAGTCAAAGTCGAAGAAGATGAAAATTCCCACGTCGTGCGTGAGTGCGCGGGAAAATATTAAACAGATTTCATGTCGTCTCTCTGTCCCTGTCCATTTGCGCTGCGGAAAACATAGGGAAAATCGCTCTCAACTGCATTTAACAGCTTTGGAGATTCGATTTGAAAGCCGTTCGTCGACGCCGCTTTTTTTGTACACTTTTTGTTTTTTGTTTTTTTTATATTTTTTGTTTTTGTGGCCATTGCATGTCGCGGCTTTTTGCATGATTTCTAGTTAAAATGCAAAACTCAGCTGCGATAAATAAATATGCATGGCTCGGATGCAGCGAACAATGTGGAAACGGCGGCCGAAAACTGAAACTGACGAGCGGATGCACAAGGCATCGGCATCGGCTTTGGCTTTGGCCCCCACCTTCCAGCAGCCAGGAGCAGCAGCGGGCCAAGTTAACAGCAGTGGTAGCAGCAACAGGCGGCGCAATTAGCCACCGCTGCCTGCTAGCTGCTATTTTATTTGCTTTTTTGGTTTATTGGCCATCGAATGCACTGCTCCTTGTCCAACCATGTCCCATGTCCAATGTAAGATGTCCGCTATACGATGTCCCATGTCCGCCGTCCGGCCAACAAATGAGCCACTGATAAATATTATTAGCGCATTGCCGAGCATCAGAGGCTGCAACACCGAAACCAGCGATATTCAAGTGCAAGACCAGGACCTCAACTGGGAGTACACACTGGGAAAATAAGTGTACTTTCTGGTAAATGTATCTATAAATCGTTTGAATAGTCTCCAGTGGGTAGTAACCATAATATAAGTACTTTAAAGGTTCTGCTCTAATTATATTTATCAATTATTTACCCGCTTTGGAAATAAAAGCAAGAAGAAATATACATATTTCCCATTTTCCCACATTATTTATTTATTTATTAATAACATAATTAAATTACAAATAAAATGCATCCAATAAAACCACAAATTTATTTCTCTGCACAGACTAGTGCACTGGCTGCCACATTTGCGGCATAATCGCAATTTATTTAAATGCAATAGGGGGGCATCGCGGTGTGGGATGGGTTTTGGAATGGGTAATGGGGATTGGGGATTGGGGATTGGGGATTGGGGATTGGGGAATGGCCACCGGTGGTAGTGGTAGGTAGTCCTACCACGAGTGGTGCTACTGCCGCTGCCAGCCTGCAATTAATATCGACATTTTAACACTTTACGTTGAATTATTGCATCTCTTACTTTTCGCGATTGCTATTATCAATGGGGGCAGACAGTCCGTTTA